GGGGGGGTGGGCTGAAGAAGTGGTTGGTCTGTGGCTTTTACGAGGGGGTGCGATGAACATTGTTGATAAATTAACACCGAACAGTGAAACTGTTGTAAATACGGAAAAAAAAACATTTTGAATGTTGCTCATCTTGTTACTAAATCATGCAAAAAAAGAAAAGAAAAAAATCACTATAAAAACTGTAATGCATAGAGGTTTCAGTATTCAGAACTGTACATTTTCAGCTCTGTTCAACAGGGTTCAAAACTTCTTTTCTCTTTTTTCTATTGTATGTGATTCTGAAACTGAAAAGTCATGACAAATGATTTGTGGCAGTGATTCTAATGTATTAAAGATGTTTAGTGTTACTTTCTAACCAGACTACACCCTGGACTGAAAAGTCTTCCTTGTGGTAGTTGTGTAATTTCAAACATGAATAAACCTTTTGCTTTCATGACAGTAACTTGTGCTTTCTTTCATGTTTGTTAAGTCAGTAGGAGAGACTTGGCACTTTTCTCCATCACAAACAGCTACTTCATTTAACCCTGTGCATCTGCCACTTAATGTAACATTTATTTCCCCTCATCAGTGATAAAACCAAAACTTATCATCATGTTTTTAAGCATTTTTACAGTGCCTAATTGCAGAATTTTATCTGCGTTGATCAAATATTAAAAATAAATATATTATAAATTGAAAAATTTGTGTGGATAATAAAATACATTTTTAACATTTGCATGCAGTGACCCCTGCACATATAAGCACTGTACAAGGCCTTTGCTCCCATTTCATACGGTGGGTATAGAAGAAGACTTAACCTGGTTTGCAGCTACTGTGGAGCTGACATGGTTAGTGCAATTAACTGAAATGTCAGGCACTTCTAATTCAGGCTATTTTGTCTGTCTGTTGTGGAAAGGCTGCCTTAATGGATCATTGGTTACCAATTCCACATGGAGATTGACATCCATTTATCCTCATTTTCTCAGCAGAGTTCTTCATTCCTGTCTCTCTCCCGTGCTTGTGTCCAGTGTTTGTGTCTCTCAGTCATGGACCAAGCTGCATCTCTCTCAGTCAGTGTGAATATCACTGAAACACACTGCAGCAAATGGAGAATAGCCACACTCGTAATGTGCAGCTAATTTGAAACTTTTGTATTTGTGTTTGTGTGTGTGTACAAGTGCACGTATAGTATTTGTTTTGATTTCAATATATGAGTGCAGATAGACAGGAAGAGAAAAGAGATGTAACAGCATAGCATGAGTTTAATTCAAGCGCAAAGCACAGACGGTTTCCCGGGAGAGCATATTTGTCCACTCAACCAGTGCAGAACTTCATTGAACACCTTTCTCTGGAAATCATATCTTTATCCTGATATCACACACCCATGACACAGATATCAAAATGCATGGATATACTTTTTTTTTTTTAAAACTGCCTTAGAGGTAAATGAAAAAAGAAACTTAACAGATTTTCAAAACTACTTTGCATACCACTATTTTTTTTGTTCTGATTATTAATGATGATTGAATTCTGCTTGAGGGAGATTTTGCAACATTTAACATTCATGCTACATCTCTCTATGGCAAGGCTGCTCAAGACCATTCCTTTCTAATAAAATGGAGCATATATGCATACATATTTGCTCTCACAGGAATTATGAAAGCATTTGGAGTTTGAAGTCCAGTACTGTTGTACCCTTCCATTTGCATTACAATCTATTTGCTCATTCTACCTTTACAAATAGATACATTTGCTTCCTCAAGACTTCAACTATTGGGTTTTAAGTACCGCACTCAGCAAAATTGGCCTCAGAACCTTTTAAATAAAGAAGTTACATTTTCTAAGATTATGCCTATTAGAGATTTTTCCAAGGTTCATTAAAGACGACATTTTCTAAGTAAAATTCACCATGAAAAGCATGCATCATTAAATATGGAAATCTAGAGTTATATTAGCAATATGCACATAGCTAGTGCCAATTAAATTAGAGAAAGATATCATTTATATTATTAAGGTAGAGTTCATATTAGATTAAATATAAAATGTAATTTTTTCACAGTTTGATTTATAGCTTATAGTGCTGTTCACAGACCCATGTTATAGTGTATTTCAATAGAGAGATTGTTTATATTAAAATGTAAAAAGCTGTAATTGTATCACACTATTGCTAAATTAAATTGGTAGGAGGTTCAAACAGAAATTCATAAGCTGGCACATATCTATTTTTCATTCTTAAATTTGACTCTATATGCACAGCAGTGTACAAACAAACCTCTTAAAAACATCATTAGTGTCTGCAACTACTTTGTTCTTCACTTTATATTTGGTTTGTATAATTACTACTTTCTGAAAGCCTTAGGAATGTGATATCAGAATACAATAGTCTGAGTGGAGTGCAAGATAATATGCAATAACTTAACATGTTGCAGCTTTGATCCTTGATCAAAGATTTGGATACTTACAGTGAAGTAATTTGGGGGATATACCAGGGAGCAGGTTATTGTGAAAGCAGCTTATACAGCAGGTGCTACATTTTATGTACTTTTCTAACCCAAACAGATAACATGATCAGGCTATGTCAACAATCAAAACACAATCAATACGCCTGACTTTAATACACATACTGAACCTGGGATGCAGACGGAGAATTTAAGAGACTGGTGAAGTGCTCAGTGCCACAAAGAAGCATATATTTTGCGGTGAAAATCTTGCTTTTCTTTACTTGCATGGATCTTTTGTGTGTGGTGGATGTTGGAACTGACAATGTTTGGAATAGATTTGCATAGCCATTTACATTAAACCCTATGATTTTAGTTTCTAAACACAATTTAATAAATGCGTTTAAACACTATAATGAAGATATAAGATATTGATATAAAGATATAAATACATTTTTAAGTGTTTATTAACAATTATATCTTCTCCTGAGAGATATTGTATATTATTACGTGTGTTTTACCATATTATCATTTATTATGTGTGTACATATACACCAGCATACACTTATGCACATACTGCTTATAAATAATCAATGTCTTTTGTGTCTAAAAAAATCATATATTTTAATTTTTTTCCTTTATGATTAAAATCAATTATCAGAGACACGACATTGGAAATGACTTAACCCTTCAGACTGATTGTATGCCCTTTTAAATTTCTATTTTCAGTAAATTGTATTATATTTCATTTATTTTATCATACTCAGCCCATACTGCGTCTGAATAAGAGTTAATGGTGAGAATGCTACAATCAAAATGTGATGCTGATCCAAAATCATATGCTTTATTTGAATTATCAATCCCCCAAAAAGCACATTATTTGACTAATGTGACACATGATATGACATGAGATGCTCATAAAGCCAGAGACACGAGCCTGAGACTAGTGTACAGTAGTTTGATTTACTGAGCAGGAGTATAATGGAGCAGAGACTTCCTGCACTGATCTCTTCAGCAGCACTGACTTCTATTAAGAGATGAGTCCTGAGTGGCCTTTGAGCTTAAAACAGTGGAGTTAATTAACATTTGATCCTACCTCTCCTTACATCTTTGGAAGTTCATTTTCAATTTCATTTCAACCCATTCACCCATTTTGGTGCTCGAAGATTGCTTTACGATCACACGTAGCCTCATCTCTGAACTGATGGTGGCTTATCATAGCTTGTTGGGCAAAAGCAGGCATGTGAAGGCTTGTGACAGGAGACAGATGTTTGCCTTACCTCTTAGCAGACGCGTGTCAGCAAGCAAGGGCTGCCTTTGTGCTGCTCAAATATACTGACACCAAGTCGGAAAAAAAAAATAGAAAACTGCAAAACACAGGACCTGTATCTGTCTTTCTCTGTTTCTCTTTGTCTGTCTCTCTCTCTCTCTCACATACATGCATTGAACAAAAATTCAATAATCATATCATGCAACTTAATTAATCAATAGCTGCATTTATTTCAGGTTTGAACCTTTCTAATTTGGTTTATAAAGACTTCATTAGTGAGCCAAGAGTGTCCCCATTCACTGAACTGCACAACGTAGAAAGCAGGTGCAAGTCACCAAGGCAGATGATAGATGTAACCTACAGTATGGAGCACAGTTTCAAATAAAGCCACAAAAGGTTCAAGTGCCGTAATATAAAACTGATTATGGTGACAGCTCTTAAATTCATTTGATCTATAGAGGTGCAGCATCTGCTTTTGATTAAAATTTGTCCTTCGTGGCCCCATTCATACTTAATCCTAACTGTTTTTAAAGAGAATATTAATACATTTCTATAAATAAACAAATAACGGAAGATGTGCTTTAGAGGCAGGGATATCATACATTGACACAATGTAAACAAGGCACCTGGCACCCTGAAAACATGCCACAGGACTTGAAAGTGGTTCACGTGCCAGACTCATACTAATGTTTCAATCATGCTGTGACTGAAAGAGCCAACAGTGAATTCAGTGCATTGTGTTTCAGTGATTTTTAATAAAGCTCAATAACTAAATATAATGCATGGAAAATAACAACAATAAATACCCACAAATCTTATCCTGCATAAAAATGAA